TCAGGACAAGTGCTCCCCTCCCATTTATATTGTTTTTATGCTTCCATACCAGTCGAAACTTACCTTCTTCCTACTATCCAATGTCTAAAATGTTGCCGTTTCGGACATGTCAAAGCCCAATGTCGATCGAAACCACGATGCTTTAAATGCAGCAAAGAGCACACCGGAGATAATTGTCCCACAGATTTCCCAACCTGTCTTTTCTGTTTGGCAAATCATATGGCTATTGAAAGAACTTGCCCAGAGCACTCAAGGCAAAAAGCTATCAAATAGTAATGTCACAAGAGAATGTATCATACCTTGAGGCTTCCGCCCGCTTCCCGGCTGTCAGAAGACCTTATTCTGATGTTGCATCCTCACAAATTCCTGTAAGCCATCTCCCATTTCCTCAGGCATCGGTAAACCCTCCTACTCTGTCTCCTTCTCAGTCCTATAGGAAAACTATTTATAAAGCCAAATCTGTGCCAGTGCAATCTACACAAGGACATGGTAAAGTTTCACACTATAACATTACAAGTACTCCTTCGTCCTCTCTTCCCAATGGGCATGCTTTACAAAGCAATATAATATCCCCTAATGACCTTCTAGAAAATCTTGTGGCTTCTCTTACAGATATTGTTGGCAAATTCGATGATTCCCATTTACCGTTCAACGTGAAAAGCAAACTAGATGTCCTCTTCTCAAGAATATATAAAGTTCGAATCCCTAACCCTCCTCCAGTGGAATTGTCGGAGCATCAGGAATAAAAAACCTGATATAATTCACTTAATTAATACTCATAACCCTTCTATACTAGCAATATCGGAAACCTGCATTTAGAATCCCAGGCTTCTCCTATTATCGTAGTGATAGAAGCGACGGCTATGGTGGCGCTCTGATTTTACTTAACAGGACCATTCTCTTATCACCCATTCCTCTTCCTCCTGTACAAGGCAATATAAATGCAGTAGCTGTTAAGGCTATGGACATCACAATCCTATCCATCTACATTCCGGCTCCCACTCCTTCTTGCATACCAGAACTCAATTTAATTCTATCAAGCATCTCTCCACCTTACCTTATCTATTAGGTGATCGATGCGTTTAGGAATTCTGAATTATTCACCATTTTAAACCTTTAATAGGCGATGCAAGATTTAGTTGATATTGATTTCGCGTGTTCGCATGGTTGATAAATTAAAGGTAGTGTAAAAATATCGATGTATAAGTTTTCAAGATCAATGATAATCGAATATCGATGATCATCGAACATCCCTATTCCCTACAAACCTTCAAAGATAGGACCATAGATTACTGTATTTATTCTCTAGTATATAGTCAGTAATCTATGGTATTTATACTCTCTGACTAGTATATAGTTATCTGTGATTTATACCTATTCCTAAACTGCTAAGCTGATATTTTCATAAAAAGTAATCTTTGATTTTTGATTAACATTCTTAAATGTTTTCGCAGTGCGCCAATCAGCAATTATATTAATCGAATTTAGTCGAAATTGAACATTTGAAGTTGTAATTAAAAAAAGAAAATATTAAATACGACAGGTAAGCATGATATTTCTTTGTGGCTGGAAAATTAGGAAAAGGGTCAAAGAAAGTTTATTCAGGCGTGTTCCCACGTTTAAGTCGTGTTGTGTCCTACTTTTTTGTGATTAGAAATGGCTTCTGTTTTGTGCTAAGTCGTGTTTCATTTGCATTTTAATAATTTTTCGTTTGCCGGTTGTCGGCACCAATATAATTCGCTTTTGTAAACAAAATACAAGGAATCACATATGTAAGGAGTCATAAATTTTAATTAGGATAAATTGAGTTAATTTATTTTATAATTCTATTGTCAACTTAGTTTAAACTTACACCATTATATTTAAAAAAAAATGCGTTTCCGAGGGCCGTGTTGCAGGAAAGGGTCCTCACTTCCTCTCCCCCTTCCTCGTCCTACTCATTTCCATAGTAATGGGTAATTAATCAGAAGCACTTCCTAAATAAGATAAATACTAAATATAATAATAACAAGCCTTCTCTCATTTCTGAAAGTGTTTTTATAACTTTACTTATATGCATTTAATAAAAAGATGTGATTTTGACATTACAGACAGAAAATTTTATTTTATATTATATATATTGATATTTTCTTAGATCTCTTTCAGGCATAGGGTGGGGTTCTCACCCTATATGTCTGAAAATCCTATACAATGCCATCATCCGTAGTTACTTCGACTGTGGCTCTTTCCTCCTAGAACCCTACAACAAATAGGCCCTTAGTAAGCTTGAAGTTATCCCAACAAGATGTTATCGTGTTATCACAGGGCACAATGAGATCAACTCCTAAAAATACCTTACATGTAGAATGTGTCGACCCCCTTTCTCTTTACGAAGACAGTCTCTAGCTGATAGATTTATTTAAAAAATACTACAATTATCATCTCACCCCCTACATTGTAAACTAGAATCTTTGCTACTATTAGTTGTAAACAACTCTTAGTGGTCTAATAAAAGCTGGCCTCCTATTCTTATATCTCTAAATAGATTAAAAAATATTGGTTATCCTTGTATAACACCCCTAATGCTACCCTATTTTGAAACCAGCTATGAAGCTCTATGACTGAGTCCTAAAATCACACTGAATTTAAACATTAATAAAAATTCCCCAACTGCAAACAGAAATTTCTACAGCCTTATAGCAAAAAATTGGCCCGATTGGCTATATATTTTTACTAATGCTTCCAAATGTTCTTCGTATAAATGTGTCGGTGCTGCAGTCTGGATCCCCAAATATAAAATTGTTTTTAATTATAGATGTCCTCCTGAGACTTCAGTTTTTACTGGAGAAGCTGTCGCCATTTATTAGGTTATATACTAAATTCTTTCCCATGAAATTCCTAAGTCAGTTATATTTACTGATTCAATAAGCTGCCTATGTCCTTACAAAGCAATTTATCTAAAACTAAATCCATCTCCAAATTAATACTGAAAATTGAAGAACTCCTACTAAATTGTGATAAGAGTGGGCTTAAGGTAGAGATTGTATAGATTCCTAGTCATTGTGGCATAGAGAGAAATGAACAGGCTGACTCCTGGGCCAAAGGACCTGTAGACACAGGCGGTCCTTTCATTTAATGAACTACTCTCAAGATCTAATGTCATTAGCACAAATTGAATTAAAGAATTCTTGGGACAGAGAACGGAATATCTTCAGACATATTAAAAGTTGTCACTATCGTAAAATCCAAACCTAAATTCCACCAAAACCTTGGTTTTTTAAATTTAGTTTCTTAAACTAACAAGTCACATCTACAATCTGCCGTTTAAGGCTCGGGCATGTATGCACTCCAGTTTTCCTAGCTAAAATTAGAATCAAAGATCATTCCCTCTGTAAATGTGGTCTGAATGAAGGTACTCCAGACCGCATTTTTTCCAATTGTCAAAATCACCCAATTTCGCTCCCTCGGCTGATTTAGTTTTAAAACAGATTCTATAAAGTCAGGTTGCCTTAAACTCTGCTATGATAGTGGTAAATGAAACAATGTAATGTGAATCATAACTTTATTGTCTATAAAACCTCTTGATTACTCTCCACAGTGACTCAATTTGTTGTATATAAATCCTGTCTTCAGTCACAAATGGAGTGTCTGGGTCTGAGTGATTAACTTTTTATGTGTGTATCCATGTAAAAAAAGCCACATATTTGCGTTTCATTATATTATGCAATTTTTAGTGAAATTTACTTTTATTGTAATTAATTCAAAAGGAATTTTCAAAATCCAAAAACAATGTAAAGGTAACAAGCTTAACCCTGACAAACCTCCTGAATTGAAAAGAAAAAAAGAAAAACAAGTACCGGATGTTTGCTTCATAGTACTGGACCAAATTGACATATTTGCATTTCGTTATGAGCAATTTTTTAGTAAAATTTATTTTATCGTAATAAATTCAAAACGCATTTCCGACATCTAAACACAGTGTAATAGGTTCAACCTTAACCCTAGCAAACCTCCTAAACTAAAAACATTATTAAAATCAAGTACGGACGTCTATAGCCAACCCGCATAACCACTTGCTTAATATTCCCTGACAAATATTTATGAAGACCTCTCCAAACGCCTTGGGATGTAACAACAGGGTCGTTTTAAGGTGGGTTCCGGGTCACGAGGGTATTGTAGGCAACAAATTTGCCGACAAACGCATGGGATGGCTCAAAGTGCACACAATTTGGACCTGGGCCATTTTGTGGAATCTCAAGAAGCCTAGTCTGACACACCAGGCTTAAAACATTCTAAAACCTTAATCTGGGCTTTTGATCGCAAATGCGCCTCAGAAGCCCTGGGATTAAGTAAAAATAAATTGCGTATTCTGGCAAGAGCCCTAACTGGACACTGTTGTCTTAAAAAGCACATGTCCATCCTGGGACTGAGCAACTCAAGGATGTGTCAGTTCTGTTCCATAACGTAAGAAACGCCTCTACACATTCTAACCGATTGCGGACATCTGGGAAACTATCTACTCCGCACAGAAGAAGTAAAATTGCTCACGGCTAAGCAACTCCTTCTATAGCCTCCTCCTATAGCCATAGCAGCGATCACAATAGATCTTCTAGATCGCAGTGATACTGGTCTCTTTCGCTAGACCTGCATAGCTGCTCCTACATAATAAAAAAAAGACCCCTCCTTATTTGTTTTAGTGTAAAATTTTGACCAAAATATTAGTCTTGTGAGTTGATAAACCACGTTGAATTTGAGAAATATAACACAGAATCATTATAGAATAGTCTTCTTTTATATCAAGTAAAAAAATTTTACTTGATATAAAAGAAGACTTTTTTAGCAAATATATTAATGCATCATGCATACAGTATGCGAGATACTGGTATCATGCATTATAAAAGATGCTCGAGTCTAAGGTTTACAAAATGGAATTGACTACAATAGCCACCAAATAAGAATTAGATATTTGAAGGCAGATTAAATATCATCTACATATATTTTTTCAGATTTGCTCTGTTACAATGCCGCAGGCCAGGCGTAAGGCGCCTTTTAGCGGTAAAGCTAAGAAACAGCAGCTGCAAGCAAAAAAGAACAGGAATCTGTTATTGTCTTGTAAGTATACTTGTGTAAGTGGACTGTGTGCTCGTATGTTACCCATATTGTATATATAAAAAAAAACTATAATCCCATTTCGTGCCATGGATGTCGAAAGAGGTGCCTATATAACCCGCTGCTCTTTAATTTATTTTAATATTCAAATTCAGTAAAATTTAGTTAAATGTTATTTTATGTGAATTTAAAAAAAAATGAAATTCGTTAAAGTGTAAACACGTTTGTTATTTAGTATTTCTCCTTGTATTTCCAACATGTCTCCCACAAGACCTGTATAAAATAGTGGCGTCGATGGTTGATATTAATATTCATAAATTTTTATTTGCATATTGTGTCATTTTATTACCTACCACAGAAATGGGTAAAGCAGGGTCTTTGACAATCTTCTTACTCCCGGCTAATGAAGAGGTCGTAAAACCATATATATTTTGCAAATAAAATGTTGCATATACTGGTATATACAACATGTTATTGTATGGGCATAACAAGGGCCGGTCATATAGCTCGAAGAACCGATAACCGATGGGGAAGGAAGGTTCTCGAGTGGCAGCCTCGTACCGGTAGGCGTAGTATAGGGCGACCCACCACTAGATGGTGTGACGACCTGGTAAGTGTGGTTTTACAGTGACGCTTTCGCCAGCGCGGTTGATAAGCGTCGCGGGCCACAAGTGTTGCGTCTCTTGCATCGTTACATAGTGTAACCAAAACGCGCGGATGGCCCGCGCTGGCGGCATTCAGCCACGCGGTTCCAACGGTATACAAAACCGCGCGACTCTAAGCTCGTTTTATAGTTTCGAGCGGGTCATCCGCGCGTTTACGGGCCGCGCTTACCACCCGCGCTGGCGAAAGCGTCACTGTAAAACCACACTAAGACATGCAGGAAGTCGTTGGATGCAGGCAGCTCAGGACCGGGCTTTGTGGCATTACTTGGGGGAGGCCTATGTTCAGCAGTGGACTTGTGAAGGGCTGTAATGATGATGATGATATACTGGTATATGTTGTAACACTTATACAGGAAATGCCAAAAATATCATATAGCTTACAGTAGATGGTGGTATAAACATTCCTATGTTTTCTTTTAACTTTGTATGTTTGACATAAAATACGAAGATCGGCAATGGGCAGTACCATCAAATGTACTATGTCTGGCACTACAATCTTCAACCAATCCAATTTCAATTAAGTATTATCCTTGTATTTCTCAACCTTGACATTGGCAGAGAATCATCGGCTGAATCGTTTAACCGATGATTCTCAGCCGTTTTTCTTTTAAAATAAGAAGAAGATGACCATTAAGGTAAATCCTCTACAACGGGAGAGCTACCAAGTAAATGCATGAAAACTGTTTCTATTTCCAAACCACTATCATCTTATGTCCATTTTACGTGTTTTATCACATAATCCCAGAGAATATAAAAATAATTTTTTTAAGAATAAGGATGACAAACGAGCACACAGTCCACCTAATAGTCTGATCCCGTGGCCCATAGACATCTACATGTATCCTCAATTAAGAAGCAAAATGCAGATGCGTTGTCACCCCAGAGGACTAAGATGAAATGCCTCGTTTTCCATAAAAAAACGGTCTCTGGATCTCTACACTCACTATACAGAACACAGCCGCCTTAGGCTGCTATTTGACGCTGGTATTCTGTGAGAAAACCTTAACATAGCTGCAGCATGGCTCTACCACGTAAATTTATTGTCTATCAATAAATTCAAAAATTTAACAGAAATTCAAGCAGAATGTATAAAATAGGATATTATAATAATAAGAAATACAACACCACTGGGAATTAAGTGATCGCTACCAAACTATCAACAAGCCATGGTAGCTGACAGTTAACGCTTTCTATAAATATAACAGAACGCGAGTAACCCGGGTTCGATCCCCGCCGGCACCAATGAAATTGTTAATTGAAATTTTAAGTGCTGAATTATCACGTGCTCTGAGGAATAAGAAAAAAAATATTTCGAAGACATGTGAAGTTCGCCAACACGCATTGGGGCAGCGCGGCAGACACTTCCTTGCCCTAAAACCCTCTCAGAAATGAGGGGAGGCCTGTGCCCAGCAGTGGGACGTATATAGGCTGTAACTTTACTTTACTTTACTTATTTTACCAAACTATCAACATAACACAATTCTAAAATTATTTTTTATATAGTTCTGCAGGGTAATACATAGGTTTCTTTCTAGTTCTTCCCAGGACAGAGGTTTTTTTGAAACTGTTGTAGAAATAAAAAATTCTAAAGTAAGTCAAATAAATACAAATATATTTTACCATTTCTTCAGCATCCACTGGCACCAACGCATATGACGTGGTCTCCGTTAACTACCAGCCTAACAGGTCGCGCGGTAGAGGCGATGCAAACCGCTACGCCCTGAAGTTCTACCGGGAGACTGAGGAGGAATTGAGGCTGAAGAAGGAAGATGCCTTGTGAGTAATTCTGAAAGTGTAATGAATATATCGGAGTGGGTAAATTACCCTCGTTATCATCCGACATAGTAATTCATTTTTCCTGTAGGCGTACTACGGGAGGTGTTGGTTTAAAACGATAAAAAGCCGTCACGATATTTAACAACAATGTAATTCTAGGTAAAAATCACTTAATTAATTTTTTTAGCTATTGTGCATAGTAGTATAAAAAATGTAATTGATTAATATATATAAATCAATTACATTTTCTCATCAGATCTTTATATTTTACATTATAGAGTCACTCATTGAAATAGTTAAAATTTAAAATACAGTGTAAGCTCGATAACTCGAATTTCAAGTGAAATGTTAAAAATTCCAAATTAATGAGTTTTTGACTTAGCAATAATTTCGAGTTTTTTTTCTCCAAACATAAACAAATAAGGTATGTAGCTAGAAAGTTTAATGGATATATTAATTGAATGTGAAAAGTATACATTTAATAGAACACATTAAGATGACAGTTATCAGTTGGAATGCTCAGTTGAACTGACCGTGTGTGTCTGTGTGTCGTCCATAACAAACATTTCTTTTGGATTGTATTGCTATGAGTTTGGGGAATTCCAAATAAGACTTCATAATATTTTTCTTCTTATTTAGGGGTCCAGAGTTGGAGAATGGCATTTTTTTCGTCTTACTGACGATTACGACTTTACATGGTTCGAATAATTGACATTCAACTGTATACGATTTAGATAAAATTTATAATATGCGACTACTGTAAAATATTTCTTTCAACACAAAGAAATAAATTGATAAATGGTGGCGTCGCAAGATAATCGATCACCCAATTTCGAAACCATCATCTATTAAGTTCGGGGTAAAATGACTCAGACCGGTGATGGCAAGCAGTTTCGAAGGTGCTTTTTAATAGTATAAGGGTGACAAACGAGCACACAGTTCACCTGATGGTAAGTGAATCAGGATGCTGTGGCCCAAAGACATCTACATTTATCCCCAATTAAGAATCAAAATGCTGATGCATTGTCACCCTTGAGGACTAAGATGGAATGCCTCGTTTCCCGTAAAAAAGGGTATCTGGATTTCTACACTCACCATACAAAACACAGCAGCATAAAGCTGCTATTTTACGCTGGTATTCTGAGAGCGTGGTCCTGCCCTAGTGGAGCCGACCCATTAGTACTACACAACCATAATATAACTGCAGCGTGGCTCGACTACGTACCAGCCTCTGGTATTACCTCTATCACTGCAATCATCTGCCTTCCTGCCAACCATCTATCAACCACCTCTGGTACTGAGACAGTTAAGGCAAATCCTCTACAGTGAGAGAGACCTATGGATCAGCTCTGTGGTATTTAATTGGGTGATGAAGGTGAAGAAAGATGCGAAACATATCATTTACATAAGTACCATTCTTTTTAAATTATAGAATAAGGGTGACAAACGGGCACACAGTCCATTTGATGGTAATAGGATGCTGTAGCCCATAGATATCTACATTTGTTCTTGAAAAAAATGAAGAATGTGTTGTCACCCCTGAGGATTAAGATGTAATGCCATCAGCTCATGATATGAAACACAGCAGCATTTAGCGGCTATTTTACGCTGGTATTCTATGAGAGCATGGTCGTACCCCATTCAAGCCGAACTATTTGTGTCTCAACTCACTATAATAGAGCTGCAGTGTGGCTCTACCACATCAAAATATGAAATCAAATTTTTAAAAATGAATAAAATTAATTTCTGGATACAAGACTAGCTGGAAGCTACGTGGAGTTATGGAGGTTATGATCCTCTTGACTCCCTCACTAGATCCACACCTGAGAACAGCTCTCTACTACATAAGCACTCGCGCCTGTCACCCAGAGGGGTAGGCAGAGACTACAGACTTCCATTTAGCACGGTCCTGACACACCTCTCACGCCTCCTCCACAGCCATATACCTACGCATACATGCTCGTCGGTTAAAGGTACTCTTAATTTGGCCCATTTTCAATATATCGCCAATTTGGTCGACAAACTTTCCCCTAGGGCGTTCATTACCGCATCTGCCATTCACATCTTTGACAGGCCTGTTGGTCTAGTGGTTAGTCACCCTGACTGCTATGCCTGAGGTCGTGGGTTCGATTTCCACCCAGGACAAATGTTTGTGTGATGAGCACGATCATTTGTTCTGTGTCTGGGTGTAATTTATCTATAATATTTATGTATTTAGAAATATATAAGTAGATAACACAAGCTCTGCTTAGCTTGGGACTAGATGGCGTTGTGTGATAGTTGTGGAATATTATTATTATTACTTCTGCAATATAAATTTGCTTTGTCAATTTCCTCATTCATTCTTTCTACATGACCAAACCACGGAAGCATTTCTTTTTTAATCCTTGTCAGAACATCATCTTGCATACCACACTCTTCTCTTATGAACCTCAGTTTATTCTGATGGAGTTATGGCATAGAAAATGTCAACTGACTTTATGTTGAGTTCTGGAAAAGAAAGACTATTTTTCCTTTCAGGAAATCTCTGAATCCAGTATCAGAAGAAGCAATGGAAGTGAACCCTTCAGATTACTTCCCTGCTGATATATCTTTCCCAAAACGTCCACCATGGGACTTCAATATGACCGTCGCACAGTTGGATGCCCAGGAACAGAAATATTTTAGGGTAAGTAAGGATTTAATGAAGATAACCACAGATATAACAGCCATATGACAAAAAAAACAGACAACGATGGGGAGAAAGGTTCTCGAAAGGCAGCCTCGTACTGGTAAGTAAAGTTTTTGGTGGCCTACTAGACGGAGGGATGACCTAGTAAGACTTGTAGAAAATCACGAAAGTAAACATATGAAGTTGGTTCAGGCTGTGTTTCCTTTGGGGAGGCTTATGATCAGGCTTATATTTCAGCAGTGGATATATTAAGAGATATAATAGTTATTATTGATTAAAAGCATTTGGGGGCAGCGTTACATAGATACAGCGAGATACCTGTGCCTGGAACTGCTTTGCATTAATGTACAAAAACATTTTGTGTTAATCTTTAAGGAAGTAATATTTCTTAAAAACAGTAAATTTTTAATATATTGTAATGTTGTTTACATGGAATATGTGTTTGTAGCATGAATGGATCGATTCGACTGTTAATGCTGCTGTGTTTCGTATGGTGAGTGTAGAGATCCGGAGAACCGTTTTACTGGAAACGAGGCATTCCATCTTAGTCGATCTCTATGGGCCACAGCATGTGCTTACCATCAGGTGGACTGTGTGATCATTTGCCACCTTTATTCTATAAAAAAAAATTGGTATAATTTTCTATTACTGGAGCACATTCTAGTCGGCCGTGAAGTATTACGCTATATCATCCCGTGGGTGTCAAAATATAAAAAAAAGCTGACGTTGCAAACCTGCCTGCCAAATGTTATCATAATTATCATACGGTAATTATACGCGCTATGATGCCATCAATATGGAAGGCCTTTTTTCAGCAGACTTTTGAAAGGCTATAATGCATGAAACAGTGTTTAAATGTAGAAATTTATATTTAAAAAAAAACTTCAGTTAAATATCGTTTAGAAATCGAACAAACAGCATCACTCAATAGGCTGGTTCATTTACCAATGAACAACTGTTGCATAATTGTTATGTTTTTTTATGATTGTGAACGCGCACACAGTAGTACACCTGATGGTAAGTGGATGTTGTGGCCCATAGACATCTACATTTAACGCCTCGATTAAGAATCAATTTTATTTTTATTTTCATTTTATTTTAATAAGGATAACAACAGCGTATATCACTAAATACAATTTCAAATTTACTACAAGTATGCCAATCAACAATACAAACAGTTATCCACATATTAAATATAAAGGTAAGCTAGGTACAATTACAATGAATAAAAACGATGGAAATTAAACAATTTAAAACAACTTAATAAAATAACAGTAATAAAATCAAGTAGTTTTAGCTTTACTAACACTAAGATATTAGTGTTATCAAAATGCAAATGCCTTGTCACCCATGAGGACTAAGATAGAATGCCTCGCTTCCAGTAAAAAGGGTCTCTCAGTTTAGCAAAGCAACAAATTTAACAAATCTGTGTTTTTTTTACAGGAGTACATAGATCAGCTACAAGCATCCGATCACTGGAAGGACATGTCCTACTTTGAGCTCAATCTCGAGACCTGGAGACAATTGTGGAGGGTGCTTGAGATGTGCGATATATTGTTGCTGATCGTAGATGTCAGATTTGCTGTAAGTATTCTGTAAATAAATTTTTATTTTAAACTGTAACAAATGAACTTAGAGTCCTCCTGATGGTGTGTGGATACTGCTGTTCATCTCTGTCTCCACTCTCAGGACTCCTGCAGCCAATTTGAGTTAGAAATCTGCAGATTCATACGTGGTAGAGCCGTGCTGCAGTTATATTAGTAGTATAGTTGTAGCACGAATGGGTCGGCTCGACCTGGGAAGGACAACGCTCTCACAGCATACCAGCGTGAAATAGTACCTTAATGCTGCTGTGTTTCGTATGGTGAGTAGAGAACCGGAGACCCTTTTTACTGGAAACGAGGCATTATATCTTAGTCCTCAAGGGTGACAACGCATCTGCATTTTGATTCGTAATCGAGGATAGATGTAGATGTCTATGGGCCACAGCAACCATTTACCATCAGGTGGACTGTGTGCTCGTTTGTCAACCTATACTATATAAAAAAAGATATGATGCCATTTCTGAGGGTCAAGATGAAATGCTTATTATATAATTGTATCGGATGCTTTTGGGCGGCAGACCAGTCTCCATCCAATTTATGATGCCAAGCACAGAAAGAAAGGTGGAAATTTTCCACCAGGTGGAAATTTAGTCCTCGTAAAAAGTATCTAACTGTACTTATAAGAGTAAAACATTTTAAGAAAGGGTATTCCCAGGTGTTCGTTTTGTATATCAAAATGGTCTAAAATCAATGTATTTCTACTTAAATCATCTGCTCGGAGTGCTCTGACGAATTGTTCGGATTAATCTCAGCCGCCAAATTTCATGAACGCACATCGCGCCAAAATTCAAGATACCATCCTCACCATACAGATGCTTGGCATTTCACCACTGTGCGTTTTACGAGGAGTATTCTTCCTCGTACGATTTCTCTATGGAAATGTTTACCACCGGTGATTTTTCCAGACCGATACGACTTAGGGACCTTCAAGAAAAAAGCTTACTCCTTTCTAAAGGGCCGGCAACGCACCTGCAATTCCCCTGGTGTTGCGGTTGATCATGGGCGGCGGTAGTCAGGTACCATCAGGTGAGCCGCATGCTCGTCTGCCCCCTCTTCTGTAAAAAAATAGGAGGAGGTTATGCTCAATAATGAACTTGGAAGATCTGTAATGACGATAATGGTGATAGTGATATTATCTAATTTGATCTCCAGGGTATGATGTTCCCACCGTCTCTCTACGAATATGTGGTGAATGAACAGAGGAAGGATATGATTTTAGTCCTGAACAAGATTGATCTCGTGCCAGCCAGTGTTGTTGCAGCTTGGAAAGCGTATCTGACTGAAAGATATCCAGGGTTGAGGGTTGTTTACTTCACATCATGCCCGGGGTATAATCTGAGGGGAGCCAGTAGTGATAAGGCTGGTAAGAATATAATATATTTTTATTTATATTAAGTGCTGTGGTAGTTTGGGGCTCAAGCACTACATAATTTCACAGTATGTGAGTAAGCCGGGTTCAATCCCTGCCGGCACCAATGATATTGTTAATTGCAATTTAAAGTGCTGATTTAACATGTTTTTTTTTTATAGAATAGGCTGACAAACGAGCACACAGTCCACCTGATGGTAAGTGGTTGCTGCGGCCCATAGACATCTACATCTATCTTCCATTACAAATCAAAATGCAGATGCGTTGTCACCCGTGAGGACTGAGATGGAATGCCTCATTTCCAGTAAAAAGGGTCTCCGGTTCTCTACACTCACCATACGAAATACAGCAGCATTAAGTTACTATTTCACGCTGGTATTCTGTGAGAGCGTGGTCCTTCCCCGGTCGAGCCGACCCATTCGTGCTACAACTATACTACTAATATAACTGCAGCATGGCTCTACCACGTAGTACACGTACACGTACATGTGCCGGCTGGTGAGTAAAACATCGTGGGGAAACATATAGTATGAGAAATGAAAATAATTAGAAGACATGTTAAGTTTGGCAACATGCACTGAAGTCAACACGGTGAAGGAATTGCTCATTAAATATGTTTAGAAATGAGAGTAGGCTGGAGGAGCAGAAATGGAAGAAAGAAACTGAGAGAAATTTTATTTATAGAATAAGGGTGACAAACGAGCAAACAAATCACCTGATGGTAAGTAGAAAACTGTGGCCCATAATAATGTACATTTATCTTCAATTAAGAATCAAAATGAGATGTATTGTCATTCTGAGGACCAAGATGGAATGCCTCTTTTCCAGTAAATAGGATCGTCGGTTCTCTCTACACTCATCGTTTCGATACAGTCGTAAGATAAATGCAGCATAGTAAACTTTTAATTTTTTTGTATGGTAATACTTTAACAGGCCTACAAGTGCGAAGACGCAAGGGCCGTCAACGCATGTGTTCTGAAGGAGCCACTAAAATATTGGAGGCCTGTAAAGATGTTGTCGATGGTCATGTGGACCTCAGCTCCTGGGAGAAGAAGATCGCCGAGGAGACCAACTTGGAGTTTGATGATGACGAGCAGACAGAAGTTGGTAAGTTAAACACTTGCTTCTAGCTGTCCGTGTGCTTAGGTCAATTTCCTAATGTAATTGATATCATCATTAAGGCCTTCACAAGTTCACTGCTGAACATAGGCCTCCGCCAAGTAATGCCACAAAGCACGGTCCTGAGCCACCTGCATCCATCAACTTACTGCATATGTTACCAGGTCGTTACTCCATCTAATGGCGGGTCGCCCTACACTTCGCCTACCGGCACGAGGCTGCCACTAGAGAACCTTCCCCATCAGTTATTGGTTCTTCGAGCTATATGGCCGGCCCATTGCCACTTCAACTTACTAATCCGTAATTAATATGTATATAATGTAATTGATATGTAATTAGTTATAATGGAAATTGTAACTAATTACATATCAATTAAATTATATTATATATTAATATAATGTAATTGATATGTAATTAGTTAATTAGTTATAATAGATAAGTGAATAAGGATATAATGGATAAAGATAGGTAAGACACACCATTGTATTTAGTTAGCGAAAAGTTGCGAAGTAATTAATTTTTTATGATAAGTGAATAGTTCCTTGTTAGTTTTATGACTGCTACTGTCCCCATCATGATCAGCTATCGTGTTACTTTATTTTAAACTAGACTTAAGAACATAAATAACTACAAATAATTTGCAAATTTGGCAAAGTAACTTTCTTGTTATTCTTATAATTTTTTCGCCTTTACGTGTTTAATTACTTAATTCCTTCATCCCTTTTTTATCATCCAACAACGAGACACTTGGTGGGTCTTGACTTTCTTATTAGCAACATTTCATGCATTCAAACTAAACCCGGGAGGATTCGCATCCCAGGTCGAGACAAAATTAGTTATTAGGGTTTTCTGTCAAAAAATTCTCAGTAGCAGCCCAGAGATAAGAAGTTGGTGGTGTTTCATCCCGATGCCTCAAACAGTACTTTAAGCCGTTGTTCTTAGTGTGATCTCTGTCCATGCGTGTCATGAGAGTGAGGGAATATAAAGTAGACCAGTGCTCATGCATTATACTTCTGTCCTTTAACATTACTCCACTGAATTGAAATTTCGCTTACTGTGGTTACTTTCACATCATAAATATTTTGAATTTTTTTATCATAAACAGTTAAATTCTGGATTTCATCTGGAGATTCATCTGGATTCTCTTAGAACTCCACCCCACAGTTTGCATAACATATTAATAAAAAAATAACATTATTTATTTATTTACAATCTACACTTATCGCACCTCAACTATCTATTATTTTTAATAGTAATATCAAATCTGGTGTGTTTCCTGATTTAATGAAGCATAGTAAAGTAATACCTTTATTTAAATCTGGTAGTACATTGGACCCCGCTAATTTTAGACCTATTTCTGTACTGCCAACACTTAGTAAAATTTTTGAAAAAATTATTCTTGATCAATTGTTAATTTTTTTAAATGTATATAAATTACTTCATAAAAATCAATTTGGTTTCACAAGGGATCGCTCGACAACTGACGCTGGTGTTGAGCTGATTAAATATATATTAAATGCATGGGAGAATTCACAGGATGCTTTGGGTGTGTTCTGTGACCTATCCAAAGCCTTCGATTGTGTTCACCATGAAACATTAATCAGAAAACTTCAACACTACGGTGTAAGAAATGATGCTCTTAAATTAATTATTTCATATTTAAGTGACAGAACACAAAAAGTTGTTATTAATAGTATGAGTTCTTCTGGGTCGATTGTACAAATGGGCGTGCCTCAGGGCTCAATTCTCGGCCCCTTTCTTTTTCTTGTATATATTAATGACTTACCTTACATAGTAGGGGATAACCATGATATAGTATTATTTGCTGATGATACTTCATTAATTTTCAAATTAAAACGACAATTATTAAATTACGACGAAGTAAATAATGCTATAGCTAAGTTAGTCAATTGGCTTAATGTTAATAATTTGCATTTGAATGGAACTAAAACTAAATGTATGAAATTCGTAACTCCTAATGTTAAACATGTCAATACTAATGTAATTTTAAATGGGGAGGAACTAGTCTTGTTGATACCACCATTTTTCTTGGAATCACACTAGACGAAAAGCTTCAATGGCTCCCCCCATATATCAAAACTCGCTAGCAGACTTAGTTCTGCAGCATATGCTGTAAAAAAAATTTGAACTCTTACCAGTGTTGAAACAGCTAGAATAGTTTACTTTAGTTATTTCCATAGCATTATGTCGTATGGTATTTTGCTATGGGGTCACGCGACTGACACTGAAATTATATTTATTTTACAGAAGAGGGCCATTAGAGCAATATATAATTTAAAACCGAAAGAGTCACTGAGACAAAAATTTAAGGAAATTAATATATTAACTCTGGCCTCTCAATACATTTATGAAAATGTAATGTACGTACACAAAAATAAAAGTAGTTTTACGAAAAAGATATTCATTCTGTAAATACTAGAGCACACAAGCTGGTAGTACCAGTTACTCGACTCCACCGAGTCAGTAATTCATTCTTGGGGCGATGTATACGATTTTACAACAAAATCCCAGAAAATATACAAAATTTGTCATACACAAAGTTCAAAAAATGTTATTAAACTAAGTTTGTATAAAAAGGGTTATTATAATATTAAGGAATTTATAGATGATAATAACCCCTGGGAAGGGTGATCGCTACCAAGCTATTTCTAATTTGTCTTGTGTTGTTGATTGTAAACATGATTGTAAGCTATTATTAAAAAAAAAAATAGTCCCGCTGGGTTTCTTGCTGGTTCTTCCCAGGACAGAGGTTTTTTTTGCGAACCAGTGGTAAATTAAAAAAGTGACTTTCAATAAGTATTTTTATAATCTACATTGAATAAAAAAGTTTCTATTCTATTCTATTCTATTCTAAAGGCTTATTGTTATCATTGTGGAGAAGAACGCAAAATACTTTGTTACTAGAGGTTAATATTATTTTTTACTTGAACTATAATAAATAAAATGATAAATATCATAATAAGTAAACTGTTTAGTGGGGATATATGTGTAAGAATCATAGAATTCTATAATACATACATAATAGAAAGGGGGTGTGGGCGGAGCCCGTGTAGCCACTAAACACAAATTCCAGTAACACGTCAATTCACACGTATAAATGTAAGCACGAGATGTGTTTTGCCGTTACAGTCGTTTCCAAATTTCGCATGCAAATTATTTAGAAAATGCCAAATTGCACGCTATTTACAAAAAAATATGTATTAAAATCCGTCCGTCAACACAGCGAATCGGGTTTGTAGTAGTGATTAACTGATAATACGACGTAATTGCTTGTATGTGTGCTCCCGGCGATGTCGAATCTCGTGCAAAATAAGGTTCAAAACCATTCTATTGTGTATTATAGTTTTAGGTAAGAGTTGTTTATGGTAAGAGATACCCAGAGGGCAGCAGCATCTTCCTGATAATAACTCCAAGTAATAAAAAACTCCGGCTGCTAACCCGTATGCTAAGCGTTGCAACTATCGCAAAATCCTCCCTATGATGCAATTTATGGGAGTCTCATATGTTCAGCCCTGGACTTTTATAGGCTGTAATAGCGATATCAGAATATACCACATAAGAATGCTATTTTTAATTGTTACAGTGTGGTTGTGCTCTTGCTATGGTTGTAGCATGAATGGATCTGTTAATAGTAGCTCTCACCACCCAAAAAAAAAAAAAAAATATATATTTTAATATTAAATTTCAAAAGAATACCAACGTAAAATAGCAGCTTGATGTTATTGTGTTTCATATTGTGTGCAGAGGATTGTAGACCCTTTTTACTGGAAATGAAGTATTCCACCTTAGTCCTCAGGGGTGACAGCGCATCTGCATTTTGATTCTTACTCGAGGGTAATGATGTCTATGGGCCACAGCACCATCACTTACTATCCGGTGGACTGTGTGCTCGTTTGTTACTGGCATTGACTAGTACTCAGTGTCATCATCCCATACCCGGCCAGATTCTAAAAAGCTGATAAAATATCGGTTTAAATACCACATTTTATTTTATTTTATAGAATAAGGGTGATAAATGAGCACACAGTCCACCTGATGGTAAATGGACGCTGTGTCTCATAGATATCTACATTTATCCTCGATTAAGAATCAAAACACAGATGCGTTATCACCCCTGAGGACTAAGATGGAATGCCTCGTTTCCAGTAAAAAGGGTCTACAATCCTCTGCACACAATACGAACCACAGTAACATCAAGCTGCTATTTTACGTTGGTATTCTGTGAGAGCTACTATTAACAGATCCATTCATGCTACAACCATAGCAAAAGCACGACCACACTGTAACAATTAAAAATAGCATTCTTATGTGATATATTCTGATATCGCTATTACAGCCTATAAAAGTCCAGGGCTGAACATATGAGTCACACCATACAAATACAGCAACATCAAGCTGCTATTTTACGTTGGTATTCTGTGAGAGCTACTTTAACAGATCCATTCATGCTACAACCATAGCAAGAGCACGACCACACTGTAACAATTAAAAATAGCATTCTTATGTGATATATTCTGATATCGCTATTACAGCCTATAAAAGTCCAGGGCTGAACATATGAGTCACACCATACAAATACAGCAACATCAAGCTGCTATTTTACGTTGGTATTCTGTGAGAGCTACTATTAACAGATCCATTCATGCTACAACCATAGCAAGAGCACGACCACACTGTAACAATTAAAAATAGCATTCTTATGTGATATATTCTGATATCGCTATTACAGCCTATAAAAGTTCAGGGCTGAACATATGAGTCACACCATACAAATACAGCAACATCAAGCTGCTATTTTACGTTGGTATTCTGTGAGAGCTACTATTAACAGATCCATTCATGCTACAACCATAGCAAGAGCACGACCACACTGTAACAATTAAAAATAGCATTCTTATGTGATATATTCTGATATCGCTATTACAGCCTATAAAAGTCCAGGGCTGAACATATGAGTCACACCATACAAATACAGCAACATCAAGCTGCTATTTTACGTTGGTATTCTGTGAGAGCTACTATTAACAGATCCATTCATGCTACAACCATAGCAAGAGCACGACCACACTGTAACAATTAAAAATAGCATTCTTATGTGATATATTCTGATATCGCTATTACAGCCTATAAAAGTCCAGGGCTGAACATATGAGTCACACCATACAAATACAGCAACATCAAGCTGTTATTTTACGTTGGTATTCTGTGAGAGCTACTATTAACAGATCCATTCATGCTACAACCATAGCAAGAGCACGACCACACTGTAACAATTAAAAATAGCATTCTTATGTGATATATTCTGATATCGCTATTACAGCCTATAAAAGTCCAGGGCTGAACATATGAGTCACACCATACAAATACAGCAACATCAAGCTGCTATTTTATGTTGGTATTCTGTGAGAGAGTGCTTCTCACTGAACAGACCTATTCGAATTACAACCATAATATAGCCGCAGCAAAGCTTTGCCACGTAAAAATGATCATAATAATTAAATTCCTAATAAGGTTCTACATTAAAATTTTTTTTCCAGGTGAAACAATCATAGAGAAAGCCGATACTTCTTACTTCACTCACGAGAAATACAAAAACGGGGTGTTAACTATCGGGTGTGTGGGACAACCCAATGTCGGCAAGTCTTCACTTATGAACGCTATCATGGGGAAGAAAGTTGTGTCTGTATCCAAGACGCCTGGTCACACTAAGCATTTCCAGACAATATTTCTTACCCAACAGGTAAATGCAATATTTTGAATATACTTGAAAATGAATTTGCTTGCCGTGTAGTTTTGATGGCTATGTGGTGCGGTTAGCATTGAGTTGCAGATCTAAAGGCCGTGGGTTCGGATTCCGCATATGCCATATTCTATTAATTGTCCTTGTGAATAATTAATATAATCAGGCTTTACTTTGCAGAAATCCATTATATTAAAGTTGTTAAGATTTAACTCGCACACATCCGCTCAATGAAATAAAATGATGTATCTTACCTAGTTTGAAGAACACCTCCCGCCCTCCCTCAATAACGTGCACTAATCCCGTCACCACTAATCCCAGCACCACAACTCCCAACATTACTTACTACCCTAGGAAAGACACACCATGGACGTCACGTGTTTCGCCTCTACACGAGGCATCCTCAGGTGATGTAGACTCTGCTGTAGCTGACCGCTAAACGGTGCTCATCAAACTATGTAACATCATTTTATTTTACTGAGCGGATGTGTGCGAATTAATTCTTAACAACTTTAATGTCCTTGTGAAATTAATGTATATAAATTGCCTCAGACAGGAGACAATCCTAGCGTGGAGGTTACTTATTATTTTAAAAAAAAGTAGAGATAGCGTCAGAAAATTGTTTACCCTATATCATCACATGGGTGTTGTAAGCTACGACAGAGGGAAATAAAACAGGAAGCAGCATCTTCCTCATAATATATTTTAAAAAACATAAACACTCACTCACAATACAATATCCTGACACCTCTCTTGCCTCCTTAACATCCATACGCACCCACGCTCGTTGGTTAAGGGTATTTCTAATGTGGCCCATTTTGAAAATGTCGCCAATTTGGTCGATATACTTTCGTCTAGGATGTCCCTTTACGACTCTTCCGTTCACATCTGCCATATAGATTTGCTTTGTCCGTTTTTCCTCATTCATTCTTTCTACATGACCAAACCGCCGAAGCATTGCTTTCTTAATCCTGAACACAAAATCAACTTCCATAACACATTTTTTTCTTCCTAATAACCACTGCAAATTATCTAGTTTGTATTATAATTACACAACATCCATATTAAAATTACCTCAATGGTGGTAGAGCCAGTTATATTATGGTTGTAGCACAAATGGGTTTGCTCGATCGAGGCAGAACCACACTCACAGAATACCAACATAAAATAGCAGGTTAATGCTGCTGTGTTTCGTATAATGAGTGTAAAGAACCGAAGATTCTTTTTACTAGAAAAGAGACATTCTTAGTCCTAGGTGACAATGCATCTGCATTTTGGTTCTTATTTGGGAAGAAATGTAGATGTATATAGTCATAGCATCCATTTACCATATGCTGGACTGTGTGCTCATTTGTCACCCTTATACTATTAAAAAAAAAACTCCAATAGTAAAACCGACAGCCAAGTACTTGTCTGGTTTTATATTTTTATTTTTATATTTCCCGTATGACCTGGTCTATATAAGAGGCCTTCGTTCAGCGGTGGACGTTTGATATAATGTAATGAATGGATTAACGAGTTCGTCAAAATCTCCCAAGGGCTTCGCAATGTGACACATCAGCATATTGTGAAAAAAAAAAGAATATAAAAATGATGATTCCGAAAGAAATGATAGGTTCAGAAGGGCTAGAACCCAGAGCCGTAAAGCCAGTTAATAAAAGAATGGATTATTGAGGCTTTTACGTTTCCAGGTGCGTCTTTGCGACTGTCCAGGTCTGGTGTTTCCGTCGAAAGTGCCCCGTCCCATACAAATACTAATGGGGTCCTATCCTATAGCGCAGCTGAGAGAGCCTTACACAACCATAAGGTAGGCTATACATTTTTTTTATAGAACAAGGGTGACAAAGGAGCCACACTTCATTCGTAGGTGACTACTGCAGTCTATGAACATCTGCAACCAACATTTGTTTGACAAAGCATGTTATATATGTCTTGTCACATCTGAGAGTAACATGAAATGCCTTGCTTGTAATTGTTCTGTATTATATTGACATGTTTAGATATATATACATACGAGGGCGGCACTGAAAATTTCGGGAATCAAGGAAGTGACACAACATTACTATTTAAAAATGTATTTATTGCTTTTCGAAGTATTCTCCGCGAAATTTGACACATTTTTCCATACGATGGAACCAATCATTGAAGCAACCATTCCATTCGGAAGTTGGGGTCTCCAAAATGGCCGTTTTGTAGGCGTCCACAGCTTCTTCAGGTGATGAAAATCTCTGTCCACGCAATTATTCTTTATTTTAGGAAAAGTATAGAAATCATTAGGGCTTAGGTCGGGGCTGTACGGCGGATGGTCTAATAATTCTATGTTTTCTTGCTCTAAAAACTCTTTTGTTCTGTGTGCGGTGTGAGAACTCGCATTGTCGTGATGGAGGATGATGCGGCGGTTGCAGTTCTCTTTACGGAGTTCAGAAACGACCTGTGGGAAACAAATGCTAGCATACCATTCTGCATTAACCGTTCTTTGTCCCTCAAGAGGAATAGTCGTAACATGGCCGGTTTTGGAGACAAACGTGGCCACCATTTTTTTTTGCAACACTTCGTGAACGAACAATTTTTGTTGGCTTTAACTCATTTTCGAACACCCAAACTCGTGACTGGTTTTTTGTTTCGGGTTCGTACGCATATATCCAGGATTCGTCACCTGATACGATGTTGTATACAGCATTTGAGGATCCTGCGTGGAATCTTTCGAGAGTTCTGACGCACCAAGTAACGCGAGCCGCTTTTTGCTCTTCACAGGGCGAATGCGGTATCCATCGGGAAAACAACTTTTTTACACCTAATTGTTCATGCAAGATTATTTGTATTTGACTCATGCCAATGTCTAAAGTTGCCTGAATTTCGCGGTATGTCACATGTCGATCTTCCTCAAGCAGCTTACGCACAGCATCAACGTTTTCTTGGGTGACTGCAGTTTTAGGACGACCTTGACGGGGATCATCACTGAGCTTGACACGTCCACGTTGAAATTCAGCAAACCAGCGACAAATTGTGGTTTTGGATTGGGCTTCATCACCAAATGTAGAAATCATCCGGTCAACACACTGTTTTTGTGTTAAACCACTTCGAAAGTCATAATAAATCATCGCTCTTGAATTTTCTCGAGTCAATTCCATTTTCTCAACGACTAAACAAGTTTGACAAAACCTTGTGACAAGACCGAGAATCTTTTTTTAAATAAATAAACGGTATTCGATTTTTAAAACCAGGGAGTTTTCAATTAAAAAGATTTTAATATGACAGGAACAGTGGAAATATTTCATTCCCGATACTTTTAGTACAGCCTAGTATATATATATATATATATATAGTGAGAGCCGTGGTAGCTCAGATGGTTAACAGTCGCTGTAAGTGCTGCGAGTAACCCGGGTTCGATCCCCGCCGGCACCAATGAAATTGTTAACTGCAATTTTAAGTGCTGATTTACCATGTGCTCGGCGGTGAAGGAAAACATCGTGAGTTTTCCTTCACCAAAAATTTTACGAAGACATCTAAAGTTCGCCATCACGCATTGGGGCAGCGCGGCGGACACTTCCTTGCCCTAAAACCCTCTCAGAAATAAGGGGAGGCCTGTGCCCAGCAGTGCGACGTATAATAGCTGTAACTTTACTTTATTTTTATTCACATAGTTTACAACAGGTTGTTTTTTCGCAACTCCACGTCCATAGTTTCAGACCGGATTTCGGTCAAGGCGGCCTGCCTCAACGTAGACTAGCCATCGGCGCAGGACAGGATTATAGTGCCCAAGTGTATGCGCAAGACAAAAGGTGCACTCTCTATTCCCTCACTCTCATAATCCGATGTAACGGTAAACCGACACGACCGGAGAGAGATCAGGCGCTGGACCAACGGCTTTACGTGCTTTCCGAGGCACGGGGGTGAGACACCGCCAACTTCCTGACTCCGGGCAGCTACTGAGAATTTATTGACGGAAAAACTCAACAACAGATTTTTTTGGCTCGACGCGAGATTCGAACCCAGGACCTCGTGATCAGCAGTCGCACTACTACAACCACTAGACCAACGAGTCAGTCTATAGTTATATTAGTAGAATAGTTGTAGCACGAATAGGTCGGGAATTAAAAATAAGTTAAAAGAAGTAAATTAAACGTAAATTTAAGAAATCATTATGTTTTTGAACACGTTTGGGCGTGTGTTAATCTAACACACATATATATATATATATATATATATATATATATATATATATTAGAATATATTAACGGCTCTGTGGTGCTGCGATTAAACAATGGGTTGCAGCTCTTATGATAGCAGATTTGAATCCCGCTCGGCACAAATATTTCTATGGCCTACAAGAAATTGTGTAAATTGTGTAAAAATTGTGGAATTTATGTATGTAAATTAAATTCACGAAACAAGAGAAAAACTTTTAAACTGTGTCATGGATAAACAATTTAAGTTACACTTGGAAAATGAAATTGATGGCGTTTGTGTTATAACGCGAGCGGAGCTGCAAGTAGAAGCTAGCAATTGTAATAACAGTTTCAAATTATTAATTATTTATGGTAGACTGGTGCAAAGCCGTGATAGTCCCAGTATATAAGGGAAAAGGGTCGCAGCAGGACTGTAAAAACTACCGTGGCATCAGCCTTCTTAGCATTGTGGGAAAACTGTATGCTAAGGTACTGATTGAAAGGGTCATGAAAGAAACTGATGGAAAAATTTGGGATGTGCAAGCAGGATTTAGAAAGGGAATGGGATGTACAGATCAAGTCTTTTCCATGCGCATGATCGCGGAGAAGTTTTTGGCCAAAAACCAAAAGGTTTTTTGTGCGTTCATGGACTTGGAAAAGGCCTATGACAGAGTGAATAGGGATGTGCTATGGCAAACACTGAATTCATTTGGGTTGAGCGCTGGCTTGATACGGGCATTGGAGTCCCTTTATAGGGACTCTAGTGCTTGTGTTAGGATCAACGGGGTCTACTCGGACTGGTTTGACATCCATAAAGGTGTCAGACAGGGCTGTGTAGCTTCCCCGTGGCTGTTCAACCTATTTATGGACAGTTGTTTGCAAAATTTGAAAGTTGAAGAATGCGGATTAAGAATGGGTGAGTTAACCGTCAAATGCCTTTTGTACGCCGATGATCAAGTTATACTTGCGTCGTCGGCGGCCGAGTTGCAAATGATGGTTACATTAATGAACAGATCATTAAAAGAAAGGGGTATGAAAGTGAACGCAAGTAAGACGAAGGTTATGGTTTTTGAAAGAGAAGAAAGTAAAACGATTTGTGAAATAAGAATAGAAGGGGAGTTGATCGAGCAAGTAGATGAGTTTGTATATTTGGGCTGCGTATTTAGCAGGGATGGGAGATATGATAAGGATATAGAACGACGAGTGAATGCGGGAAATAGAGTAAATGGGGCCCTGCACTCTATTGTGAAGAGTCAAAATGTGTCGAAAAAGGCACGTATGGCAATTCACAATGCTGTGTTGGTCCCTACTTTAACATATGGTAGTGAAAGTTGGGTGTGGCAGAAGAAGCACGAGAGTAGAATGAACGCAGTAGAAATGCGGTCGTTAAGGAGTATGTTAGGGCTGAATCTTAATGACAGGGTAAGAAATTGTGTAATAAGAGAAGAGTGTGGTTTGCAAGATGATGTTGTGACCAGGATTAAGAAAGGAATGCTTCGGTGGTTTGGTCATGTGGAAAGAATGAATGAGGAAAGAGTGACAAAGAAAATTTATGTTGCAGAAGTGAATGGCAGAGTCGGAAAGGGACGTCCTAGGCGAAAATTTATCGACCAAATTGGCGATTTATTGAAAACGGGCCAAATTAGGAGTACCCTTAACCGACGAGCATGTATGCGGAGGTGTATGGATGTGAAGGAGGCGAGAGAGGTGTGTCAGGATCGTGCCAAATGGAAGTCTGTAGTCTCTGCCTACCCCTCTGGGTGACAGGCGTGAGTGTTTATGTATGTATGTATGTATAACAGCTTTTGATCAACTAACATCGTTTTATATTAAATGTTATTTCAAATGATGATTCATTTAAAATAAGAGTTATTAACTACATAACAGATTTATTATTAACTGCTATTTCAAATGAAGTTACCACTTGAAATAACAGTTTTACAATTTTCCTGTATTTTAGTTGTTTTAATTTTTTTTTCTTATAGGTATTTAGCGGAGAGATTAGATCTACCGAAATTACTTCGCATCAGTCATCCGGAAAACGATGACACATGGTCACCCAGAGATATATGCGATGGGTGGGCCAAGAAACGTGGCTATCTCACTGCTAAGTCTGCCAGGTGAGTACTTATTAACAATTTAACAACATAGCAAGCATAAAACTGTAGCAAAAACAGTGCGGTATATATGTTGGAGAGTATAACAGGATAAGCCAATTGTGTGGGAAATAACAGGATAGCGTTAATTATAAAAAATGATAAAAGTGTGAGAGCCGATGTTCAACTTGCTCTCTTCTTCCATTTATCATATCGATAATAGGACAGCGTAACGCGCTATACATTCAGCATAGAGTAATTACAGTTTGACCATACCGCAGTATGTCCCCATCACAAACACACCAGTGCAATGTGAAGGACACAACTTTGTGATAACATCAAATTATGGAAACCAACAACATCCTTACCCATTTTAAGGTAACACAGCACAGCCTCTCAGCAACACCATGCTCCTTGTCTGCACCAGTAGAATCACCACAATGGACAGATATAGATATTATTTTAGTGTAACAAAATTTCAAAAGAACACTTACCATCAGGTGGACTGTGTGCTCGTTTGTCACCCTATCCTATTTAAAAAAAAAAAACAATTAAAGACTACACTAATGTTAAATAGTGGCTGCCTGCGGTGCAATGGTGGAGAAGCGACAGAGAGCGCAAAACGCATCAGGCGGCGTCGTGTTTCCCCATTTTATCGCACCACCGGCAGTGAGTGTTTAACATTAGTATTGGTTAATACAAAAAAAGTCGACTAAGAGCTAAAATAAGTCTTAATTCAAAGTCAAAATATTTATTGTATGTAACATGTAAGCATACTTTTATACGTGGTAGAGCCACGCTGCTGTTATATTATGGTTGTAGCACGAATGGGTCGGCTCGACCGGGGAAGGACCACGCTCTTACAGAATACCAGCGTTAAATAGCAGATGATAGTGCTGTGTTTTGTATGGTGAGTGTAGAGATCCGGAGATACTTTTTACTGGAAACAAGGAATTCCATCTTAGTCCTCAGTGATGACAACGCATCTATGTTTTGATGCTTAATCGAGGATTAATGTTGATGTCTATGGCCCGCAGCATCCACTTGCCATCAGGTAGACTGTGTATATTTTATTTTTTATTTTTTTAATAGAATAAGGATGACAAACGAGTTGTTATCCTTATTCTATTAAAAAAAAAAGTGCGACTGAACAGTTTTTTTCTTGAAACGTCATTGCTTTGACATTGAAATGCAAGATTTTATTGTAGCAGAAAATATGACATAGCGTTACTTTTTACTCCAACAGAAGCCAGACTGCATTATTGCTACATAGCATGCACTTAATGGAGTTTTTTTTTCAGGTTGGACACATACAGGGCAGCGAACAGTTTACTGAGAATGGCGTTGGATGGAAAGATTTGTCTATGGCTACGGCCGCCAGGATTCACAAAGCAAAGAGGTTTGTTATTTTTAATTTATTCATATTTATATTTTATGTATATTTATCAAAGTCAGGCCTTCGAACAAATCGGTTGTATTTTGCGTGTTACTAATTCAACATTAAATCGCTCACCTACTCGAAAGAATAAAAGTGGACCAATAATCCATAGCGGAGAGAGACGCGTAATTTACAATGTTTATAAGTACTTCAAACAGTGATTTAAATGGTATCCTTATCATTCGGTAAGAGTCGAAAAAATACCAACAACCAGCTGGAACAAGCAGCAAATAATAGATTGGCTGCAAAGCAAAGGCAAATCCATGGACATGACTTATTTAGAAAAAGAATTATTAATGACAGTTGCCGAAATCTCCCCACAATATCTTCTTCTTTCTTTTGTGGCGGTTTGATAACATTCGCCAATGACGTATTGAGTGGAAAATGAAAGCTTATGAGGTTAATTAAAATAAGAGTCTGTGATAATACAAGGATTCAGTTTTCCTCCGAGAATTTTGACAAATCTATTTGTTGAATTACCTAGAACAAATATGACAAACACAGGTGTTAGACTCTTACCCGTATGTTAAAAGTGACAAGGATTTAAAGTTTCATATTATTAGTATTAATAAAATCACATAAAATATACACAAAAGGAGTATTGGTATATGTTAAAAGAGAATTGAAATCTATAGGTCGAGGAATATAAGGAGGAAGGTAATCATAAAGGGAGAAGGATAATTTGGGATAGTTGAAAAAAATATGGTTTGTGGAACCTTCATCTAAGCCACATTCACACAATGAGCTATCCCTTACTCTGATTTTTTCCAGATGTGCATGTGTACAAGCGTGTCCAATTCTTAATCAACAAATGATTGAAGTTGCATGTTTATTTGCTTTGTTAAATTTAAAGAACCAGGGCTTGGGAGGAATAACCTCTTGGATGGCAGCATAGTGCTTACCTTTAACATTTTTGGAAACTTCCCATAATTTATTCCAATTTTCATTCAGTTTTCTTTTGGCTAGCAAAATTAGGTCATGTGAGTAAATAAAATTTTGTAGAATGCCATTAGCAATTGCATTTTTAGCGAGTACATCAGCTGTTTCATTACCATGGATACCACAGTGGCCTGGAATTCAGGCCACTGAGACATGGATTCCTTTAAGATGGCATCTGAATAGGGTATTTTTTATTTTAAGAATTAGTGGAAATTTATGTTTGTTATGGAATTGATTGGACAAAATAGCTAACAAACAACTTTTGGAATTTGTGAAAATAACTGTTTTATTAAGATTATGTGACTCTACATATAACAAAGCTTCACTGATTGGAGTTGCTTCACCGGTAAAAGTGGAGGATAGTGAGGGGCATTTAAAGTTAAGAATGATTTTGAACTTAGGAATCCAAACAGCAGCTCCAGTATAGTCTTCATCAGACTGTTTTGAAGCGTCTGTGTACATGACAAGCCAATCTTTAAAGGTGTTTTCTATAATTTCTTTTAATTTCAAATTTGCCATTGGAGAATCCTTTTCTATACCTAGATCTAGATGAATGTCAGGTTGGTAAACAATAGCCCCGTAAAGGACATCAAAGAGTGGATTTATTTTACATTGAAAGATTGGGTAAGGAAGCTGAAGAAAAATTACAAAACTTTTAAACAAGCAGGGGAGTCCTTATGGGTCCAGTATCGGTCAGATGAGATATACTCTGAAAGAAGATGCAATTTAGGAATTAGGGGATGATCTGAAAGCTGGCAGATCTTAAATAAGAATCTGTCTGAAAGGTATTGCCTTCTTAATCTTAAAGGAGGATCTACGCACTCAACCTGAAGAACATTTATTGGTGAGGATTTCATTGCCCCTGTAATGATGTGAAGGCATTTCGATTGAATTTTGTCCATTACTTTCAGGGATGATTTGCAAGGCTCCAACAGGAAACATCCATAGTCAAGGTGGCTTCGTATTAAAGCATTCTACAGTAATTTCTGAGAAAAAGGATCCCCACCAAACACCAGACAAGGACCGAAGAATATTTATGTTTTTTTCGCATTTTTGTGTTATATATTCAATGTATTGACCGAGGGCCAATTTCGAATCAAGGATAACTCCCAAAAATTTAACATTGCCTCTAACTGGTATAGGTTGCTTATCATATACAACAGATGTCGGGAACTCGCCTTTGGCGGGAAAAGATCACCAGACTACTCTTGGCCACAGATAAAAAGAGGCCATGATTAGTTAACCATTCTTGTAAATAATCCATGAATGAGTTTAGACGGAAACGTGCCACTGTGAAGTTGTTTGAGGAGATGTATAGAGCTAAATCGTCTGCATATTGAAGAACATTACAAAAAGAATTTACTGAAAGTTCTAAATCGTGAGTATATATAGAATAAAGGAGAGGACTAAGAACTGAGCCTTGTGGAAGTCCTTTCCATATAGTTTTTGGTGGAAGCAGGAAATTGTTAACATTTATAGATATTATATTTATAGATATTAGATATTATATATTGATCTAGAAGAGAGAAAGTTAGAGACGTAATTGACTATCCTTACTGGAATGCTCAGATTAAGCATTTTCTGCCTGAGCACAGGAAGAAGGACATTATCATATGCAGAAGAAATATCCAAGAAAACTCCTATGAGAAATTCATGTTTTGAAAAAGCAATATGAATATCTGTGACCAAAGTACTAAGGCTATCCATGGTACTTAAACCTTTTCGGAAACCGAATTGGCTTTTAGGTAAGAGATTATTCCTTTCCAAAAACCATTCCAAGCGATTTTTTATTAAATGTTCCAAGATTTTTGCCAAAGTACAAGAAAGGGCAATAGGTCCGTAACTGGAAGGGTCATTGCTAGACTTACCTGGTTTGAGAATTGGCAAAATAATTTGGGTTTTCCATTCAGCAGGAGGATCAGCAGTAATAAAAATAAAATTTAAAATGGATAGTAACACAGTTTTAGTGTTCTCACTAATTATAAACGAATAAGGAATCCCATCAATACCTGGTGAGGAGTCTTTAAGGCCATTGAGTACAGTAAACAATTCCTGAGAAGAAAAGGGGGAATCAAATTTATCATTTGTTTAAAAAAAAAGCAGAATTAAAAACTAGGCATTCATCATAAGATGGGACTGTTTGTGGTGCAAGTTTATTAGAGAATTCATCTATCCACGGGGAAGGATCATTCGTCATCATCATCATTACAGCCCTTTACAAGTCCACTGCTGAACATAGGCCTCCCCCAAGGTATGCCACAAAGCACGGTCCTGAGCCACCTGCATCCATCGACTTCCTGCATGTCTTACCAGGTCGTCACTCCATCTAGTGGGGGGTCGCCCTACACTTACGTCACGTTACGTCTACCGGTATGAGGCTGCCACTCGAGAACCTTTTTTCCCCAACGGTTGTCGGTTCTTCGAGCTATATGGCCGGGCCATTGCCACTTCAGCTTACTAATCCGTTGGGCTATGTCGGTCACTCTGGTTCTGCTGCGGATATCCTCATTTCTAAGTTTATCACGCAGAGAAACTCCGAGCATAGCCCTCTCCATAGCTCGCTGAGCGACTTTGAGCGTCCTCATACGGCCAGCAGTGAAGGACCACGTCTCAGTTCCATATGTCATCACTGGCAACACGCACTGGTTGTACAACTTAGTTTTCAGGTTTTGAGGTATACCTGACGAGAAGATGCGTTGTAATTTCCCGAACGCTGCCCAGCCGAATTGAAACCGTCGATTGACCTCTCAGTCGAAGTTGGACTTACCTAGTCGGACTATTTGTCCCAGGTAAACGTACTCGTCAACAACTTCGAGCATAGTGCTCCCAACAACTACCGGCATAGGTGAGACATGGACATTAAACAATGATCTTTGTTTTGTCCATGTTCATCTTAAGACCTATCCGTTGGGAGGCACTATTGAGGTCATTGAGCATAGTGCTTAAGTCCTCCAGCGATTCTGCCATAAGTACTATATCGTCGGCAAATCGAAGGTGAGTGATGTACTCGCCATTGATGTTAATACCGTATTCTTTCCAGTCCAGTAGCTTGAAAACGTCTTCCAATGCAGCGGTGAAGAGTTTCGGGGAAATAACGTCACCCTGTCTTACACCTCTCTGCAGTTGGATAGGTTTCGTACTCTGGTTCTGTACTCGGATAGCCATCGTAGCCCTACTGTACAAACACTTCAGCACTTCGACATACCGACAGTCAACTTGGCACCGCTGAAGAGACTGTAGCACCGCCCAAATTTCGACGGAATCGAAGGCTTTCTCATAGTCCATATACGCCAGGCAAAGTGGCAGATTGTACTCTTCGGACTTTTGTACAATTTGCCGAAGGGTATGTATGTGGTCTCAGGTACTAAAGCCTTTTCGGAAACTGGCTTGTTCGGGAGGCTGGAAGTCGTCGAGTCTGCGTGCGAGACGATTCGTAATGACTCTCGAAAACAACACGTAGACGCGGCTCAGAAGGGAAATCGGTCTTTAGTTCTTCAAGAGGGCGTTGCCACCTTTCTTGAAGAACAAGACCACCGCACTTCTGCTCCACGCCTCCGGAGTAGTTCCACCATGGAGGACGGAATTAAAGAGCCTTTGAAGGACTTCAAGTGCCGGTTTTCCACCCGCTTTCAGAAGCTCCGCTGTAATTCCATCCTCGCCCGGGGACTTGCCGTTTTTAAGGTGTTGGAGAGCCATTCTAATCTCGCTCAGACTGACGTCCGGGATATCATCGGAATAGTGTCGGATAAGACTTGCTCTTGGATCGTTACTCACACTTGCGTGTGGCTCCAACGATGATGTGTACAGCTGCCCATAGAACCTCTCAATCTCACTCAAAATCTGGTGTCCCGGAAACGATGCTGCCACACTCAGTATTCAGCTTTGACAGTTGGCTCTTACTGACAGATCTCTGGCAAAGACTTTGGAGCCCTGGTTCCGCTCAATCGCTTCTTCAATACGAGCAGTATTAAATTTGCGTAAGTCTCGCCGCATGCATTTGGAGATCTGTCTGTTCAGTTGCC